GGATATATGCTTGAACTTAATTTGCATGCCGCGAACATGTAAAAAGTTCTCTTTTTAAAGAATTAATAAATCTTTTTCGTAAACGTATGAAATCTATAACGTCTTCGGAAAATATTAGAAAACAGCCACAATATTGCAACTCTGTCCTGGCATTTGTAATTTTTTTAATATTGATATTTTATTTATTATAAAAGCAACTTTTTATTAATATAGTTATTTAGAAATTATTTCTACATAATCATAGACAGAATTGTTTAGAAAATTTTGGATACAAAAAATTTGAAATTTAAATTATTGTTAATTTTTTGAAGCCTGAAACAACTTTATATTTTCATATACATATAATGTAAAGTGTATATGTATGATATATACTTCTCTTATATTTAGTATCACAAATTTACGTTTATCTTTTATTATTTTATATCTATTCATATAAAATTTTGCAATTCTCTTTCTAAGAACATATAATTAATGTTTTTTTTTGTAATTATAAAATAGAGACAATATTACCTATTAAACATAATTTAAAACGTTTTATATATACAAACTATAAAAAAATTAAGTAGTTCCAAAATAGTATCTTTGTGCAAATAAAAGAAAATAAAGAAAAAGATATATATTTTAAAGGAAAATTATCGGCACGACACGTCAAGAAATCTTACGGGTTTACACGCAACTTCATCTGTTCCAAAACGCACTTTCTACTCCATCAAAACATGAGATATGAGATCGTTCACTATTTTCACTCTTGATGTGTATGATCGAAATGTTTCCAAAAAGATTTCCCCGACGGCTGTTGTATTTTTATTTCTACCGAAATAAACGTCTCTCTTGCGCTCGTACATTTAAAGCAAGATTTCGTCAAATCAATGATTTCATATTTTAAAGGTCGAGTGCTCGCAACCGAAATCACTTCTTGTCGATACCAAGCGAATTCGCATGATTGAACACGGTTATAGAAGAAATAACTATCAATGTAAGATCAAAGGAAGTCTATTTTATCCTCTGATACGGTAATTCCGCCTTTGTAACCGCTATTAATAACAGATTCTTTGATGAATTTTCAGTCAATTCTTTGGCGAAAAAATTGATAAAAATAATCTAATTCTAGAAATATCTAATATTAAAAAATAGATTTTACGACTTTTTTAAAGCATTTTTACGAAGTAAAACTTAATTTTAAAGTTATATCAGGTGTTTCTCCAAGAAGTGACTGAAATTGGAAATTTATACTTTCCGCATAAAAATGAATGCTATATGTATTATACATAGAAAACGTTCAATAAGACCCAACTAAATAATATTTGTATTTAGTAATACAATTTTATCTATGTATAACAAATACCAATAATTTCTCATATGTGTAATTACTCTTTTTCCATTTTTATTTCTACATAACAATAGTTTAAATAAAAATTTCCTCACATTTTATTCTAATTATTTTTTAAAAACATGTCTACTTTTTATTGAAATAACTTTTCATCCCGGTTCTAAATCGCTACTAAATTTTTTGTATTACTTTCAAATATAGAAAAATATGTAATTTTTTCATTTTTGTTAAAAAGAATACGTGTAATATATAACATAAATAAAAAACAAATTCCTCTTTCAGTTAAATTCAAATAGTTAATATTATTGGAAGTTAATCAGGATTATATATAAAAATCTACATGTCTTCAATTTAAAAATAATATAGAATGTGTGTGTGTGTGTGTGTGTGTGTGTGTGTGTGTGTGTGTGTGTGTGTGTGTGTGTGTGTGTGTGTGTGTGTGTGTGTGTGTGAAATATGTATTTTCTTGAGCAGACGTCTGACAAAGACAAGAAAGTAAATAAAATATTCTCTTTTTATAACTACATTTAGTTATATTTTAAGAAAGCGAGTAATAGTACAAAAGAAAGATGCAAAATGCGATTACGGATGTCCTGAAAACGACGAGACATAGGAAAGGAGCTTACAAAATGCGAGACAATAAGGAAGTCTTTTAATATTACTATCGATTCTTTACGTCACATTATATAATACTTAAAAATCGTTACTTATAAAATAAGAAATATAGATAGCGCCGATAATTCCTCATATATGTATGTAGCTACTCGTCTCCCCTTTTTACCTCCTTACGAAACAATTCAATAATCGCCGTGCCACCACGATCGCAGAGCTATTTCCGAAGATACGGGAATGCTTTACGAGGACGAGACTCGTTAAAAGTTGCACGGCTCGTTTAAAATCTATCCCGTTCACCTCAGCGTTACACCGTTACCTTCTTCGTTTCTATCCTTTTTTTCGGGTCTTCAACGCTGCACATAAAAATGCGAGATAAGTCCAGAGCTGCGGGGCGCACGTTGGCTCAGCCGTCGACGGAATTGCAAGTTTCAATTTGCAAGAGAAACGGAAGATGCAGCGAAGCGGTTGCATCAACGTCATGCACGCCACGATATCGTTTATTTAATGCAGCGCAGCCGCGGGGCTTCAGACAATAGTTTGTAACCGGCTCACAAACCGACTTATGAATTTCTATTTATTTTGCGAATCGACGTGGTAACTTTTCTGGTTTAAAAGTAAAATGGCAAAAATGCGATGTTTATATATTCCTTCAATTGATACTTGAAATATCTCTTGTAATTCTTGTGTCAGTCTCGAAAAAGACATCTTGAACTTCAACGGATTTCTTTACAAGAGCAACTTCAAAAGTCACGCGGTCACGTTCTCTTGATAACATGGATTTGAAGAAAATTCCGTCAAAAAGGTCACCAAATCTTCTTCACGATATAACTAGATTGCTCAATGTAACTTTGTAATTTTTAATAAATTTTAACGAAGATTTCATACTCAACATTAATACTACTTTTTAGCATTTAAAAAAGGCTTTGAAAGCTGCAGATATATATGACTTCAAAATATCACGAAATAAATATTTCGTACTTTTTAAAGAACGGAATGCGCTCTCTCTCTCTCTCTTATGTATATTTTTAATACTTCGTAAATACTTCACGTAAACTTTAACCTGATATTTCTTCATTTATTCTTTAGTTTCCAGAAAATGCTTTCTCTCTTGTCATAACTATCGCTTGAATTTCTCTTTTACACGAAACTTTGGCACGATGATGTCGGCAACTTTCAATATGTTATACACCGAAGCTCATATAGACACCGAACTATATGCATACACTCAGTAGTGCACCAGTGTGCCGATCCTTTTCTCTTGGCATATTTACACCCAAGAGTATATTTTTACATTTAATACTAAATAAATTGAAGTTTTCTCACGCAAGAAGTTTATAGTTTCATAGAACTAAATATCTTATTTTTCAAAAATTTTTAAAAACTATTTTCAAAAAAGTCTTATGATATTAAGCATTCATGATATTGCATGTTATGTTTGCTGTATTGTCAGAGTATAAAAAAAATGTTGGTTTAAAATGTTCTAAAAACAATTATTCTAAAAAAAAATAAAGATAATTAAGAAACCTTCAGTTTTTAATTTTTTTAATGAAAATTGAGTATAGATATTATTTCGGATTAAAATCAGATTTGCATATTTATTGCTAAATATTTCCAAACATAATTCAGCACAAAGTCAATGATTGTTTTTGTATGGCGGTAAAATGGTTAAGGCGGTTAGGGTTACTTTACGAACCTCAAACGTAAGCTTCCTTAGCCTTTATGGTCTAGAATTAGGACGGTAATTTGTGTCCATAGCATCGTACCAACGTGGACGAGTAAATTTATGGCGTGCCTGGGGATGCTCACCGCGCGGCGGACAGTTTAACACAATTGCGACTACATTTCGTTATAAAGTGAAAAAAACTTCGTTTTCGTTTAGTAAAAACGTCAATTAATCGACTATATTTTTCATATTCTCTTCATCAATTTTTTCCAATGTAAAGAAAATCTAATTTAGCAGTTAACTGTTTTGTGTTGAAAGTTAGAGGCAATTGTCAAATTAAAACGCATAGAATTACATCAGTACAAGTACCAATTTTTTTTTTTACTACGCTCTTGCAAATGTTCCGTTTTCTTTAAAACAGTAATTTAAGTAATATGTATGATAAATGCTGAAATCCATATCTCATTGTTTCCATAATTAAAAAAAAACTTCAGTTACATGCTCAAACAAAATTCAAGTTGTAACCACTTAATATCAGACGAAAAAATAAGTAATACAGATACCGCTTAATATCATTGGAACTTAGAGCTTTAAAAGTTACATAATTTTAAAGTCAATATAGTCAACATATACCGATATTTATCAAGTAAAACAATATTTCTCAGCGGTTTATTATCGTAACTTTAACCGAGAAAGCTGAAAGTCGATATTGGATGTAACATTTTTCGAGTTCCGCCTCGAGCGCTGATAAAATTATTAAACTTGTCTTGGCTATTGAGGTATAGTTTCGCAATAATAAAACTAGTTTCCACGTGGGCAGTTAATATCAATCTTGTGGCTTAACCCGTGAGGATCCGAATCCGCCTGATCCGCATAATAGTTATATTCGGTCACTTAAATCGGCTTATGTCCATGCTCGTGGCAATGAGGATCATTAGCGATTTTCGTAACAATTTGTTGTAGGCGTCGTTCAAATATAGTTTGCTCATTTTGTTTGCTAGTGGATAATTTCAAGCAAATCTCAATAAAACAAAGTAGAAAGTTATTAGAAATTTTGTACAATTTCTTCGACATTTACAAGTCAAATACTTTAGCAGTAATTTATTAGCGATTGATTAAAGTTGGGGTATATCAAGTTAACATTTGGACAATATTGTGCCAATAATTGTGCTATTAGTTTAAGTTTAATTCGATAATGTTTAGCAAGTAAATGTTGTACTTAGGTGTCTCAATTATTTTAATTATTTCTATATTTTTGTTGAACGTAAAATAATTTAAAAAATTATTTTTAACCCTCCCTTGAAAGATATTAAACTCCTTTTTCACGATATAAAGGATTTATTAAAATTATTTTTCTCACTAATCGTATATATCTTTTATGTGTTATTCTAGACCCGACATAAACGCGATAAGAGCGTTAACTTCAGCTCAACCAGGAGCGGTAAAAGGTGGCCCTGCGGTCGCTGTTAGCAGAGTTGCTGCTGAAGAACGCGAATTGCCTAGGCAGGGAAGCCTGGTCGATGGGGAAGGTATCAAGATTGTTATTCATGACGTCGACAGTGATCCTGGTAAGCCTTATTGCGGGAATATTTACAAAATAATATGTATTCATATATCATAATAGTTAATCATTATTTGACATCATTATCCTTTCTCACTAGTTATTTATTATTCTTTAATATTTTTCTATATCTCTTCGCTAAACGCGTAAATCTTCAGAAACCGTGTAGGAGTTTATTTATACCGTAAATCTGTACAGAAAGAACAGCTTTGCTGAAGTATTTAAAAAATTAACTAAATACAGAGATCTGAAAATAATTTTATTTATAGACCATCAAAATAATTACGTATAGGACAAAAATACCGTCAGTTGTGTTGAAAATTCTTTTTTTAGTTAGGAAGTTGATAACGCAGTAAACTTAGCTATGTTCTGTAATGAATCAGCTAATTTTGTGCGTTTTCCAGCAAGGACACTGTAATATAGAGAATCATTCCATCCTTGTTGTTACTGTTGTTAAAGTGAAACAAAAATAATTCTGTGTGTTACACTGTGTCTTTACTGGAAAATGCCTATTGTGATTTCTATTGTTGTCCAAAACAAAGATTATTTTTTATTTTTTATTATAATAGTTAATTAAAAATGTATATAAATAAAAAAACATGGTTATATTATTTTGCATAAGACTATATTGCGCTTCTGTACTTCATTAACACACGACAAAGCTTATTATTACGCAATAAAGCATTCAATTTAATTTCTTGACATAAATAATAATAAGTATGACTTTTAATTTCATATACTTTTTTGAGATTCATTTTACTAGTCTTCTAAATTACTAAAAGTCTCAAAATTTTTATTAAATAATATTTTAATAAACGATATGTGCAAGGATAAATAATTAACTAATCATCATATCTTAAAAAAAGCGTGTAGACGTTTCTTTGAAGCCTCTATTCGTTGAGGCAGTTAAAGTAATCCGAAAATGGTGAATTTTGGTAACAAGGAATTTTCGGGGACGCTCTTTTAAAAACATGGTAAAAATTATGATAATTAAAAGAGACTTATCCAATATGGCGGACGGAAAATATGCGAAAATTTTAAAAGTTTTCCGATTTCGGCGAAATTTGGATTAAGGGGGCTTACGCGGACGCTGATTTCGAATCAAAATTAGGAAATTCCAAATGGTTGATCCAAAATGGCGAACGGAAAGTGTTGCAAAAAACATAAAAATTTAAAAATTTCAGCAAAATTAGGTAAATGGGGGTTACCGCGAACGCTGATTTTGATTCCGTGTTACAAATTTTTAAATTCAATATGGCAGACGGAAATGTTGCGGAAATCAATAAGATTTTCCAAATATGACGAATTTAATAAAACGCAAAGAAATGTAATTATAATTTAAAGCTTAATCGACTATGTTTGGTGTAAATTTTGTAAAAGAAAATTATATGATGGTTCAAAAAAAAAGAATCGCGCGCGTAGCGCTCTGAGAAGTTGGCACCCCTAAATGCGAATATTGGTAAAATCATTGTTGCATTCGTTTGTCCACTGTTTGTCCTCGTTTGTCCACCCGTTATTTTCATTTGTCCATTCTTCAAAAATAAATTATACATAAAAAAGGTTGTAACATCCCCAAGTGATTATTTTTCAAAGTTCAAAGAAGTGATTATTTTTTGAGTTCGTATCGATTGCTTGAGAATTCATTTTACTAAAGTAATGATTTTTTCGAAAAAATACGAATGAAAAATGTCAAAAAAAACGAAGAACAACTGAATAAGATTAAAAGAAAACGAAAATCATCATCTTCATGACTATTTCAAAAAGCGGGGAAAAATAAAAAAATAAAAAAAATACGAAAATCAATAATTTAAAATGAAAACAATTAATTAAAACTAACTGGAAAAAAGGAAAAAACAAATGATAATCTCATAAATTAGACAAATCCGGAAAAAAATTTTAAGGATGTATAAATTCTTAAATTTTTAAAAAAATTATGTAAAGAAAGAACCTACGTTGTAGTTTTAGGGGGATTAACAAACGAGTTTGGACTTTTCCAGATTTGTTTGTGTATCCCTTATAATTCTGAATCGCGCGCGTAGTGCGCGCAGGAAAAGGCTAGTTATGATAAAAAGCAATAAGATGTCTCTCCTGGACAGTACAATTGGGAATCATTGAATGGAGCGGATTTTTTATTCAGACAAAATATGAAAATATGCACTTTAGAATGCTTTTTTAATAAGATAAATTTCTATTTTAATTTTACTATTTCCTAATTTGTTTTTTTCTACAAAATATATAATTGCGTAAGTATCCGATGTTTAGTAATCTGTAGAAATCACTGTGTCAGCTGATCCATTACGGAACACAGCTAAGTTAGTTACAACGCTACCAACCTCGTAACTAAAAAGATAATTTTCGACACAGTTAACGGAACATAGCTTAAGTTAGTTACAACACTACCAACCTCGTAATTAAGGAGACAATTTTCGACACAGCTAACGGAACATAATCAAACTGGGTTGCTAGAATATCAAAACTTTTTACAGTGTTGCATATCCTACATAATTACTTTAATAATCCTACAAAATTATTTTCGAATTTAGCTGAATTTTTAGAATAATAGATAAAGAGTCAAAACTTAATATTTATTTAACTTGTTGTGAATGATTTTATGTCTAATTGAAGAAACTATAATAGGTACCTACAAACCGCAGAAATGCTTTACTGTAAGTGCAAATATTAGCATTATGCCAAAAAAAAGAGGAGAAAGAAAAGTGCGTTTGATCGATCAAGCTGCGGGTTTGCCAAGTGGTGATTCAATTTCGCGGACAACATCAGTTTCAGTTAACTCCGAGGGTTTTGTCCTGCCAAATAGTGAAATCACGTTAATTAAAAATCGGGAATTTAATTTCGTAGCTCACTGTGAATCCATTCTCTCGTTCGAGAGAGGCCCAGAGTGTCGAGCTCAAATACCGATTAATTATTTGCTACGGGAAATAACAAAACGGTCCGTGTCTTTGCATATCGCAACACATGTTAATTAATGCGCAGTTATCCGATATCAGTACGATCGAACATCGGCCTCGGTTTGCATACAATTCACGCGCGACTTGCTTTTAACAAAATCACTCTCCGCATAGGAGTGGCATTACAATACATAACCAAGATCGATGATATGCGCGCGTCGATACGAGAGAATCTTCCTTGTCACTCTATAAATAAATACAGAGATAATTTTTACAAAAAATAATATATTGTGTAATAATATATTCTAGCGAGATAAAGTACATCATACTTCTCGATTATTAATCGCTAACATTCATCTAATAAATCTTCAGTAAACTTGTAAATTTGTTATGAAAAAACGTTCCTTTTTTGCAACATATTGACGATAAGTGTATTTTGCTTTTTACGATTTAAAAATTTGCAAAGAGAAAGAAATAGTCTTGTTATATGATAACAGCCATTAAAATACATGCATATATATAGCGAAAGACTTTTGCTCAAAGAATGAAGATCGTGGTCTATAATTTGAGAGAATAGAAACCCATTTTTCTTTTTAACATGTATATCAAATTGTACGAATTATAGGAATCGTGAAATCATAACTTAATCTGTTGCGAATTCAAAGTTCCCTTTTTATTGTTCGAAGGAATCGAATCAGCTCTGGTTCGACATATTTCCCCGTGTGGATTACCGAGCTATATGTATGGGAATATCTCGATTAAAGCGCGCTTTATATTCCCATTTTATGTTCGTTCTAACAATAAGCTTATATTACAGAAAAAAAAAGCGTATTTAAACGCGTTTATTGAATGTCTTCTCTGTTGCAATTCTTGGTTACAAACATAATTTATTATAACAAAAAAAAACGAAAAAGTTTAATTATTTTATCTTTTAAACGCGAAAATGTTATTCAATGAGATGTTACAAGGTATTATTTAAAAACCTTCTGATCGAAGTTTAATGTTAAAAATGGGTGCTTAAAGTAAATTAAAAGTAATTATGATACTTATGTTTAAACACCTGCGATTATGATGCACGGCAGTGTAATTGCTAAATGTTTACCGTTATGCAATGAGATCTGCATAGATAATTTTTGTGTTAGCTGAATGATTTTATCATCACTAGAGATGAAAAGCTAAGTAACTTAATTCAATCACGATCTTTTTATTATAATTGGACCTAATTTTTTAAACCATTCTATAAAAGCAACCCATCATTTTCTCATTATATTTAATTAAAATTAAAGGAAAATCATCTTTTGAAGTAGTTCACAAACATTGATTCAATAAACATGCGGACTAAATCATTAATACATTAATTTCATGAAATATATATGTATAAATATCTTTCGAAAGAAAATAATTCAAAATTTATTTAATTAATAATTTTGTATCTTGTATAATAATTATAACTGAATATGTCCCCTCTTCTCAAGTTCTCATAATATGTAATTTATTATAAAGTATATATACTTAAAATAATAATGACTTATCTCTCTCTAACATTCAAATATTGTTTCATAAGTTTCTATAAACTTTTGAGATTACGATCGTTATGTGACAACGAAATAAAGCGGAAAATAAAAGAAATATTATTCGACGGCGATACTGTCGTCTCTCACGATTATAAGAAATTGACGATCGACAGCGGACACTTGAAAGCGCGCAAGAAACATTTGGATCGTTTCCAACGTTTACGGTTTCCCGAAGATATCACGAGACCACTCGACGTAGTATTTTTCTCTTCACTGACGGGTCACACCGAGTTACAGCTGCAAAAACGGACCGTTTCATTTTTCTCGTTCGGCAGGCAACTCCTAGCGTAGGTCCGTGCGCAATATCGATTGCAGTCGCAGCAGTTATCGCGATCTGGCACGCCATACAAGAGCTACGTGGGAATCGCGATCTGTCCACGTGTTCATTAACGGCATGTCGATCGGAAGGTAGATTACGCCATCGTCCATCCCACCGATAGACTGCGATGCAACAAACTGCGCGTGAGATGAAACGAGAAACGCGACAGGCTCGCGAAAGATAGAAAGAGAAGGAGAGCGAAGCAGAGGTGCGAAGATAACGTGTACCTTTCATACTAAAGTGATTGTGTGTAATTTTACCATGTGCAAGCTCATCGCTGCGACGACGGATAACGCAGTTTGCACAGTGTCGTTTAGTGGGGTCACGTATGTAATTATTATACGTATACCTCGTAAGGAGAGACAGGGTCTCTTTCTCTGGACTATTTTCCGATTACCGGAAATTTATAAGAACGCGTGAAAAATATGTAATTATTAATACGCACGAATTAAAGAATTCTAATTAATCAAAAACGCGCGAAAAAGCGGAAAGATAATCGAGCATTTTCTATGCTAAATAATTACACAACGTTAAAATGTTGTAGCGTCGTAACGCTAACCTAATGAAATCCGTGGAGAGAATCGTGTTCTACGTTTTTCATTTCAAGTTGTACCGACTTAGAAAGTTTATATATTCGTAATTAAACAATTTCTTTACGTGTAATGCAATTACATTAGGAAATTTCTCGTTCATCGGTTTTTGTACATGAATATCAAGAACACTAAGTACTGCGCAAAAGATTGTTCAATTATTTACATATTAAATATATGCACATAATATATTTTTATGCTAAAATAGTTTTAAATATAGCAGTATGATTCAGTAGAAAATTTTTTTATATTGTATGTTGAATGCGTTAGATAATTACTTTATAAATTCGTAGATAAAATGAATGGTAGGTGGATATGGTAGATAGAATAGGCATAGATATCGGACGAATTCGTTAAGATGTTAGCGCAAGATTAATTGACGTGACTCATTGCCTTTTCATATTTTTGACTTAAAGCCTTTTATTATTGCCTCCGTCTTTTTGACAAATCTATCTACATTTCACAAGACTAAAAATTTGCTTCGCGTTCACTGTGTCACATCGATACGTTTTATCTCAATTTTGTCCGCAGATCAACTTTCCGAGGCGAGGTGTCGGGTTTGAACGTAGAAGAGATTTAATCGGGGGTTGTGCCTAAATCGCCTTTATGCTACATCAAGCAGAAATTGCCAGGGCGCATTATAAAAAAAAAAAAATAAAGGAATTGTTCAAAAATCTCGACCGTAATTCACTTCGCCTCGCTTCGCGACCCTTTTATACAACAGCTCGCTATGACGCGTGTATTAAGCGTGTTTTTCGCTTCCGCATAAAGTGTAACAATTTCACAGTTTAACCTGTTTTTTTCTTGCATAGATATCAGTACGATTTATATCGTAGTAAAATGACTGATAGATATTACGTGGGCGTAATATCTATCAATCGTTTCACATGCTCTGCAATCAGAATCAACGATCGACAGTTAAATAAATTTTATTTCTTTTTGAATCTGTCATGTTATAAATTAATTCGAGCAGCATACATCTGGTAAAAATCATGGCAAGTTTTATGACCTGCTCTTTCATATTTCATGGAAAATATTCCAAAAGCTGTTATCTAGCCGTGAGCAACCTTCGATCTACATTTCAAATTAGAAAAAAAAATTGTTTTTCTGTCACACTATTTCACGAATTTTATTTTTAAATTAAATCTATAAATTACAACTGTGTGTTTTGATTTCTCTGAGATTAGTTTTATTTTTTTTCAGAATTTCGCTCCATAATGAGGTCCTAACTCTTTTGCGAAAAGATTTAAATAATATCGTAAAGTGTTGTTATATATTTTGTATGTGTATATACATATTATGTCAATTCTATTTTAAGTACATCTTTGTATATTCACACCTATTAAACTAATTTATATACTTTTTTTATTTAATTTCATAATTTTATTTTTTTATTTATTTTCATGATTTACTTCTTTGGATATTGTTGAAGCATAGAAACACGAGAAACGACGATTAATTAAAGTTAATTAAAATTACTGAGTTTTAAAGTTGCGTTTATATTTCTTTCAGCTCCACGAATAAATGCGAAGAGGAGGGTAAAGCTGAGACATCCGGTTACGGATAAGGGACACAGAAGTGAGTATCTATAATTAGATGACACTAATTATTACTGACTGAAGCACCTTCGACGTGCTTGAAACTCGAGATTCGAGGGTCTGAATTCACTCTAGAAACTTCTATCGATCGGTCACAGTTCTTGGCACTGATATCACTCTGATTTATATAGCTGATACTTAATTAACGCGCAAACTTGATTATAGTACATTGTAAAAAATAAAATATTAATTTTAACTCAAAGACGTCGAGTGGAATTTCTGAGACATGTAAAACTGTAAAAATTAACATTTTTGTGTTAATGTTAACATTTTTGCATGTCTCAGAAAATCCACTCAATGTCTTCAAGTTAAAATTAACATTTTATTTTTTACAGTGTATTATACTTTATACTATGGTGTAATAAGATAAGATAAAACGCGGATACGCAGAAGAGTGAATTTGGATTCGATTGACTGTTCTAGTATGTTACTGCTATTGTACTCAGACAAGTACATTTGGACTTAAATCTGATTGGATGTTTCTCTCCAGTATGCTATTGCCATTATGCGCAACGTTTAACCTTATCTTGTAACACCATGCTTTATGTTATCTCTATGGTCATGAATATCGACTTTCCATTGTAACTACAAGATACAGATTTTCGACGTTATTAATGCATTAATGCAATGTGTGAATGTTAACAATTCGAATAAATTATACTTTTTTAAATATTTGTTAATTAATATGCAAATGTACTTCAAATGTCTATATTTTTTCAGCCATAAATTGATAAACGATAAAAAATTTTTCTAAACATCTCAGAGTAGCTTATAACATGAATTTTTCAACACACTTACTAACTAAAAAAAAATTAAATTTTGGACAAAAAACTTATCTTGAAAGTTTGCTCCTTATTTTATACATATATATTTATTTTTTTGTAATTTCTATTTTTATTCTAATTAGTGTGCATATCTTCTATATTATATTAGTAATAATTATTTATATAATATTATTCGTTCGTATTTTTTAGTTCTATTTTTATAATGAGGTATCATCATTTCACCTTTGAAGATTATCAATACTGTTGAGAAAAAATTCAAATAAGAGAAAAACTCTATTATATATATATATATAATAAAAAATTTAATATTAAAAATTTCAAAAATAAGATGATGTGATGGAAATCTAAATGTCAAGGGGGACTATTTAGCAGTAGAGCAACAGATCAAGCGTTCCATTTGATAATACATAGTTAATTATAATAAGAATAATGACGTTTCTCTCGAGAAGACAACCGTAGGTCGCAGAATAATCGTTCACTAAAGGAGTGCAACAGGTTCGGAAAGCTTGGTGTGATGGTAATCGAGAGATTAACGAATCGCGAAGTACTTTGATAGGATCCAAGTTAATCAGTAACCAGGGCTACGACACCATTAATCTTTCACCACTCTTCGCGGAACTCCATCTCTCTTTGTCATCCTTTCACACACCACTTCCTCTCTTCGACTCTATATTCTCTCTCTTACACTTTGTGTTTACCCTCCTCGTCCATTGTCATGTGACACCTCGGTCTTTTAGTCCCTTTGTGACTATTTCCACTGTGATATTCCATATATCGTTTACATTCTCCATGAATTATGTATTATCGTTTATATCTATATGCACTCACCTATACATAGTTTATATTGCGAGAATTATTAAATCCAAGATTACGTCGTATGCTTTTAATTGAAAAGACAAGAATAAAACGAGATCTAGATTCCGAGAAGAGCCGTTTAATAACATGGCTGCGTTGGCGTATCATTGCTCGACTTATTATCGTTACACATATAATCCGATCTCGTATCACGCTATACAACACGTTTGTCAATGTGGTGTGCCTTCGCATCACAGGAAGGTTGTCGATGCAACCAACCGTTGCTCTAAATGGGTGACAGCTTACAGTTATATCAACCGTTATGTAATAGCTACTGCTATAGCGTGCACATGCGTTAGGTAAATAGCCAGGTAAATGAGCGAAGATGAGAGAGACAGAGGCAGTAATGGCTCTAAGCCTGCACTCGACGAGTAGGCGTGCGATTGACGTTTAATTATTCGTTGCGCATTCAGACGCTTCGTTTCCTCTATCTATAACACGCATCCGCGAGTTCTCGTCGTTTCTCCGATTTGACACGACATCATTAGGCAAGGGTTACTGGAGAAATTTAACGATTATGTTTCCGCGAACGTAATTGGAGCGAAATACATCGAAGAGATGAACTTTATTTCAAAATTTCAACAACGTAAACAGAGCGTTTTCAATATTATTCGATAGCTATATCGAATAAAATACATTTGGTATTTTTTCATAAATTATACATATATTCAGTTATAAGATCGAGATTAAGTCTTATTGTGGATCTTTCTGCAATTTGAATTGATTTTGTGCCTCGCTTTCTATTATTTAGATACATACCATATATTCGTCAGGATCGCGAATTTCGCATCGTTATACGATTACTGCGAGCACTGTAATCAAATATTAATATGTGTACGCTAATATTTAGAACAGTTATGCATTTATTTAATAACACAAAATTCCCGTCCGTGACGACCGCCCTGTAGTGAATTTACGAACTATTACAGTTCTAGTTTCATAATGGCTCCAGTTTCGTGTAGCTCATATTACTCGTTTAAAAGATATACAGTTCTTTTTAATTTTATTTCGTAAGATAAACAAGCTAACATTTAAGATGATATATAAAACATTTATCGATATCAAATAGATAGTCCAACATCGAGTCAACATTAATTAGATATGAAATTATTAATCTGCATTCCATGAAAGTAACTGTGGTTTCCATCACTTAATTTTCATCATTATTGCGTTTATATGGCATTAAGTAAAGATTATTTATACGTAATAAAATTCTATTTAATCGTCTGGTAATAGATAACTGTAATTTCAATTCAATTCAAAGCTAATACGATTATTATGTAAAATAAAAATCTTTTAACTTATTGTTTATTTATTAATAATGTACAAACAGCTTTTAGAACATTTCTGAAATGTTTTAATCAACTTTTATCTAATTCAGTAGATGCGTTTTGTTCTTACGATACTTTTTTCAATCACTAGTTATTGTACGTACATACAATCGTGATTATTAAAGACAAAGCTTTCGCAGATCGCTGATTTGATAAATGCATGTACGTACTCCCTATGGTACCATTTATACATCGTTTTATCTTTACGCATGGAACAACACCTACTAATCACGTTATTATCAACAACTAATCTATTATAACCATACAGAAAGCTCAATAATAATGGTACCACTTCGCGATTCGTGCAATTCCAAGAGAAAGCCATTAAGCGCGATGATACGTAATACACGTACTGGATGTAACTGGATGCAATTGTAATTCCAAGCCACAATTTCGCAATGACAGCTTCTCCATGAATGATGACAAGGCAATAACTCGCGAGGGGATAAACAAATACGGATTTAATATCCGTATTTGTACTATTATTGTTTCTACAACCGAATTAATCGAAAATAAGAAGATTAAAAAATCCCATAAATCATCAAAAATTAATTGGAATGATTAAATACTGGTATATATTTTATTTTATTTTATTTAATATTTATGATTAAAATAGAAAGAAATGACCAAAATAAGCACTATCTCTTAAAAGTTGTGTACCTTTGTGTGTTCAATTTTCAAAGTAAAAACTAAATCAATACTAGCAGAAAAAAATCCAACACGAGGATGAAAATCGGGTTTTTTTTTCTGCAAAAAACGTTTCTATCTCTTCAAACCATAGTGGAACTCGACAAACAGACATTCAGCGAAAACCGCGAATATGAAAAGCCATAGGTTTGAACGTTTCATAAATAGTGACGGTGTTGTAGCGCGTGAGAAAGACCTGTCGCCGCCGCGCACGAATCCAAATTGCAGTTGCCGGCATTTGCACACATCTATCTGCGAATAATAGCTTTTCGTGCAAATCACAGAACACCACGGACGCAGCTGTGCTCTCAGCAAGGTGCGCCGATATTCGGCGCAATCGATCGACACTCTCTCTCTCTCCCTCGCCGCGGCCTGCAATAGAGACGCATTAACGCAAACGGACATGTCTCGTGTATTTTACAAGTCCGTTTGTAAACCGCTCGGCTTCGTCGCAGATACGTACATACGTGTCGATCACTTCTCCGTTGACATGATCTCTCGCTGAGGCTTTGTATCTAACGGACTTTATAATAGCGAATTCGCGCGAGATAAAACAACAGTTCCCACAAATAGAAAACGACTATAATCTTACTCAGATCAGAGTGTCCACAATTCCTAAATTATAAACAATTAATTGGCAAATTTATACGAATTTAGTTTTAAAGATATGCATGATATAACGCAGCTAAAGCATGCATCATAACTGGAAGAAAATCAATGAATTTTTATAAAGCTATATTTTTGCCAATTAATCTTGCATGAAAGGTCGCAAGAGAATATTTTTATAGGTAACAATCGATAGGACAAACAATTTGCAGGTGTGATCCGTTAGCTGTATGGCGGCTAAATATTTTTACAGAATACGGCAACGAATAACGCACTGTGAGGAATAACGATGTCTGGAATTAACGATCAACAGGTTGACTATATGGATAGGAATCTGTTTTGATTTAATCACGAGAAATGGGGACATTTGCTGTGGCAGTTTTAGTGAATATTGCCAGGGCTGTTCGATCGAGAATATGCGCACGAAATAATAGGACAAATAATTTTACAAATAATATGTATACTGGATACAGTATTTGACATACGATATGTAAATTATATACCAAAATATCTTAAACGTCAATGTTATCGTGAAAGAACAATTTTATGTAACGATAATATTTGTTTAAAATTGATAAACGCAAAAAAGTCGGTATTACGATTATACAGAAAAATACTAAAAATTATTTGTTATATTCATACATCACGTACGATAGAGTATAACTGTAATTGCAAATAAAATTTCCCGATACATTTATTCTAGAAATATTAAATTA